CACAGCAACTTGAGCCTCAACAGCAGCAACAGCAGCAACCGCATCCGTCGCCTCAACCCCAGCAACAGCAACAGCCGCAGCCACCTCAGTCTCAACAACAACAGCAGCCACAACAGCATCAGCCTTCGCCGCCGCAGTCTGAAGAGATGCCAGCGCCGTCAGAGCCACGATCTGAGCTGCCCCAAAGGCCCCAGCCGCCCCTGCTCAACACGGATAGCGCGATCAAGAAGCTTCCGCAGCGTAAGCAGCACAGCATCTTCACTCCCATTGACGAGAACCGCTCCATCCTGTCTCAGCACTTGGCTTCATTCGCCTCTGAGCAGAGCATAAAGGCAGAGCCTAATCGGCCCCCATTCCCTGACCAGAGCAACATCAAGGTTGAAGGTAACCGCTCTCAATCAGTTGATGTTGGCGCAGTATCCCGGACCAATGGTTCCACTACTTCTCCGCCCATGCCTCCGCGCGCCAGCACTCAATCTCTGAACAAAAGCCGCAACATCTCCGTATCGTCAATCCCAGAGACAACGTTTACTCCGCCATCTCGCACCAATAGCATGAAGCTTGGTGGTGGTGCGCGTCCCCGTTTGAGGGTGGAGATTCCCGACGAACCTTCGGATGGCGGTAGCGCAACTGCCGAGTCAAACTCTCCTCGCAACTCGACAGATACCACATCCCAGACGACTCGGCGCCATGCATCCGACTCGCACTCTTCCGGCATGGTTCTGCCGCCGCCATCCCCGTCAGCCCAAACGCTTCTCTCAGCTGGCGCCACGGGCCCGCCAAACCCGTTTGCTCGCCCACCCCCGCAACAAAATAGCAATATGAACATTGACACTCCGGTTTCCGCCCTTCCGTCCCGATTCTTAAATAACGAATTTCTGCCCAGTCCGAGCAGCTTTTATCCGGAATGGTATGCTCGTGGCGGCAGCGATAGCAACACACTACCCAGTCCATTGAACTTTGCGACTCCAGTCGTTGGTTCCGGTCCTAGCTTCTTGCGAGATGACAATCCGGCTACGAAGCGCAAGAGTCCTGAGATCAGTGCCAATGGTCCGCATGACGGTCCTGAGGCCGGAAACGAACCCAAGAGGATTCGGGTAGATTCTTGATTTCAAATTTCTCTTCTTCATTCGACGCTTTCTTCGATGCCTTATCTGTACCATTCATCTGCATTCTGGCCTCCTTCAGACCATGTATGGAGTGCATTTGGTTCTATGATACCTCTTTCTTTTCACTTTACGGCATTAGCGTCACGTAAGATGTTTAGTTTACCTTCTCTTCTATGTCTCTGTGTACGCGGAGGATTATGCTGCATTGCTAGGCGCAACATTGGCCACGGACAGGGTTTCTGTTTTTTTTTTTTTTTTTTTTTTTTTTTTTTTTTTTTTTTTTTTTTTTTTTTTTTTTTTTTTTTTTTTTTTTTTTTTTTTTTTTTCTATTTTTCGTTCTTCATCCGGACTGATAAGTATTACTACTCTTCGTGTCCGAGACGGCTTTGGAGGGAATGATGTGCACACGGACATGTGAGATGACTGGAAGCATGGAAAACTGGCCTGCAGCAGAAGATGGATGATCTCGGGGCGTTTGGTGTGATTTCTGTAGATTACGGAAGGACAATGGCTGAATAGTTGGAATGAACTGTTGATGTACAATTTTGCATGTTCATACAGACCGTGATGTGTGTGTAGAGATTAGCCAAGATCTTGGCACTAGTGACTTCGATACCGTCTCGCGGCGCGGCCCGTAGAAGCGCGAGCTGGATGTGCCCTTTTTACATGTCATGTTGACATAATCTTTCCATGGCGAACATGACATTAGATTTACCCTGAATCCCGAAAGTCGGAAAAGTGGCGCGTGGGTGCGTTTTCCTGCAGGTCCGCACAGGCAGTCGCGGTCGACCGCAAAAAGCCTCCAATAACACCTTACCTCACCTTGACTTGACTTTGACTTACCAAAAAGCGACAGCGGCCCCGTCAAATGCGGCCCGCCTTCTTACACGCACTTTCGCAGAGCACAGGCGACACGCGCAGTTTGTAAACTCATCGATCGTCACTTTGAAAAGGAAGGAACAGAAAAAAAGAGCGTACGAATCAAAGAAGGGGTGCAAATGTTTACCCCGGCGGCGAAACGCCGACGAGTCGAGGCGGCAAACGAGACGCTTCGGAAACCGTTCAGGTCGCCCTTGGTGCAGCGGGACCGAGGCCGAGACCAAGATCCAGGCCCGGAGCGGACCCGGGAGGTCAGCACCGCGGACGCTGCTGCTGCGGCGGCGGCGGCGGAGGATCCTGCGGCTGAAGAGGGTGACGATTGTGATTCGGCGGCACCGGCGACCACAGACCCGGCAGCAGCGTCATCGCCATCTGCGAGGGGGGCTACGACGACGACACCACGGCACGCTACGGGGAAGTTTGCGACGCCTGGGAAAGGGGGGGTGAGCGGCACGTTCACGTCTACATCTACGGCCACGGCTACGCCTACACGCCGGCCGTTTGGCGTTCCGCGCGCGCGTGGGATGCAGCTGACGGGTGCCTCACCTTCGCCGTTGCGGACGACGGCGGCGACAGGTTCTTACGGTGCTGGTGGTGCTGGAAAGACGGGTCCCGGGCTTGGGTTTGTTGGTGGAGGGAGCAAGAGTGAGAGGGAGGCGGAGGGGAGGGAGGAGGTTCTACGGCAGGCTGAGCGGATTCGCGGCGGTGGCATCGCTGTGAGAGAAGGGGAGACGGACGAGGAGCTTGTCGAGTTGATTGGCAAGTGGAGGGCCGCGAGCCGGATTGCGGCGGAGGAGGTGTTTGAGGGATCTAAGGAGAGGGTTGAGGGGATGGGAGGGTTGAAGGCTTGGAGGAGGGCGAGGAGGGAGGATGAGGTTAGGTTTATGGCGATGGTGGAGGGGGAAGAAAGTGCTGGAAGGGCTAGGAAGGGTGGTTGTGAGGAGTGGGAGGGGAGTGACGAAGGGTATCGCGGTGAAGGAGGAGAGGGAGATGATGGTGAGGGTGAGGAAGAGGAAGAGGAAGAGGAAGAAGTGGATGAGGTGAGTTTCTTGCATATTGGGGGAGCAGGGACGGGGAGGTTGAGGGTTTTGCTGACTTTGAGGACAGGAGTTCACGATGGGGACGATGCTCCGGAGTATGAATATCGATTTTGAGATCATCGGCTACGATGAGGATACCGGTTGGTGGAGGGACGGGTGATGCGAAGCGGACACACGGCTTTCGCGCTTCTTCTTTACTGCCGTCGTCGACGAGACGGGACGAGATGAGGCGGACGTATCCGTGATACATGACGACGACGGACACACGGGGTCTCGGACGAGGTGACGTCTACAGAATAGGCTCGAGAGCCTTTGGCTTTTCTTTGACCAACATGGCCATTCTCGGATCAACACGGGCTGCGAGACGAAGAGTAGGAACCACGGCGACAGGCGTCGGCTGGCGTAATTCAATTCTTCCGCAGATGATGGCTACAAAGGAAAATGCTGCTCGCTTTCCTCACTTATTCCCATTCTTGGTATGAACCAACCTTAGGCACTCTGCATCCCCGTTTGAGGATTGTTGATGGAGTCTCTCTGTCTGAGATGGAGAGAGGTGGTCAGTGAGGCTCCCGGCTCGAGATCCGAACCGCCGGCCGAGTGAAAGTCGTATTCAAGCTCTCTCTCGGTCGGGGAGAAGAGCGATGGATGGTTGGGCAGGCTGCGAGACTGTTTTGTCATACAGCCAGCCCTATATTTCCCGATATGAGTAAATTCGGTCTGGACGTTGGGTGGGAACCCCGAAAGATGCCTGATAATAAGGGACAGAGCAATAAGAGAGTGCCTGTGCTTTTCTTTTCGGCGGTGGTTGCCGGACGAGCTGGACGTGGGATGATGTTCCCACAAGGATGTACCCTCGACTGGAATTCATGTTTGCATTAGGTGTTGTGTGCCTCGTAAATCAAGCTTCATCTTTACGCTTGTTCCCTTTTTTTTGCTGCTAAGCCTTACTGAGGGCCCGTGTCGGGTTTGTGTCAATGTGTGCCTTGCCGTCTTACTTCTCTTACCATGTGTGTGATGACGATGTATGTAAGTGAGCCGGCATCCGCCCTCCCCCCTCCTCCCATCCACCCATCACTGAACAAGCTCATACACCCACCTAGTTCGTTCTCGCCTTACTGAACCATGATCGGCTGACGAGAGTTGTGGCTGACGCATGCCGATTGATCCGATGTTTCTGTTGGAGGAAGGGGGTTTGTTGTTGTAGTAGTAGACGCAGTAGAGTTTCTATCGAGGTTTGGATAGTAACGGTCAGATATTGCTTTGTGGTCGCTTACATGGTAAGTTTTGACTGCCTTACGTACGCCATTCGTTTCGTTACTCGCCTTGGGTTCTCACAAGTGGCACTAGGTTGACTGCGAGAGTATGGTAGATTGATATCTGAGTTTTTTTTTTGGTGGTTTACGAACATGGCGGGCACTGGAGTGAGAGTAAAGAGAGGAACTCGTAAACGAAAGCAATTGCATGATGCTTATAACCGAGAACGAAGTCGTGTGCTCTCCGCGGGGCGTTTACGCGCGAGACGGGTTCCGACGAACTCAACTTCGTCACGTTCGGCCGGTGGGATACGGGAGAAGCAGTCACAGCAGTACGGGACAAGTAGTCTTGACTCTCAAGCCATCAGCAGCGCTGTCGCTTGTTTGGTATGGCCAGGTGATACTGAGGTAAGGTAGCACAGTGAGCTGAGCGAGAGCGAGGACGGGGGGTCTCGGACGGTGGTGAGTGCAGTGAATGACTGAGTGAGTTGGTTTGAAGCATACAAATTCGCCGCTTTTTCCCTTATGTGAAGCCTATGTGAAGAGCTTATACCAGGCCATTTATTGCAAGAGCTTATACCACGCCATTGATTGCCCTCGGGTCTGTCCTGATTACCTCAACTTGAGGTGGTATCGATAGCGGATTCGACTCAGAGGCTGAGGATTCCGGGGGGGGGGGGGCGCTTTGAAGTGTCTCGCCTTGTGTTCGCAATGTGTGTTATGGTTTTGTTGTTGTCCTTTCCCGGGGCTTCGCAGTAGAGATATCCCGTACAGCGGATTTTGTCAGAAGGGGACCTCTGAGCCTCGAGGTCTCCCAAATCGTCAACAGACCATTGGGTAAGGTACAAATCCATACGTGTCGTAAGTGGTTCGCCGTTCGGGACCCGAGGTGGATGAAACGGCTCTGGTGCTTCAGCGCTGCCGCAGAATTGCACGAGCCGCACCTCAATCCCCATCTCCACTCAGCTAGCTGCTGCGCTCCCCGAGAACAGCAACACCCGTCGCTTGCCTTGCTCCGTACCTCACCTCAGTGTCCACTACCTCGAGGTACCCGTGGACGCGCGTGTGGGTCACCTGTTGGAAGCGACAGCAACTCAGCCAATTGGCCCAGTTTCCACCCTTTCCAACCTCCCAAACCTCGCTCTCTTCCCCCCCTGGCACACCAGCCATGCGCCGTGGAGAACAGAGTAAACGATGCAGCAGCAGCCCAGCAGGCCGCCGACCGACACCCACGCCCCCATGTCCGAGCAAATGGCAACAGACTGAACAGAACAGGAAAGACGGCAGACAGAGAGAGAGAGAGAGGGGACCGGACGATCCAAGCCGGGGGGTATCATTTCTTGTATCAGTGTATCAGTGACTGGGGGGGCTGGAGCAGCAGGCCTCCCCTTCCCGTATTGTTTAATTCCAAGTTTCCTTCCGACTCTTATTTTGTTCTGGTTCTTGTGTTCAAATATATCATCTACCCGTTGCACTTCAAAAGTCTTGGCAAAAGAGCCAAGTTTCCTACACAACTCACACCACACTTTCTCTCTTGTCTGGTTCTAGCTATCCTTGCACCGGTCGTTTCTGCCAATTATCAGCAGCAGGGTGTCCTCTTTTGGCGTAGTTGATCTGCAGCCTTTCCATCAACAATACGTACACCATCACCGTTCATCAAAGGCTTGGGCCAAGCTTCGACATTCACCAAGATTGTGAGAGAGGGGAACTTGACCGGAAGGGAAAAAGGGGGGAAATCGTAAGAAGGGGCGAATCCGACTTCCTGCAAATCACAAACTTCACAAGATGGACGCCGCATACCTGAGCGCTCGCCAGACGGTGGTCAACTCGAACGACCTCCCTCCCGGCTGGGTTATACAGAATGGACGGGCGATTCCATGGTGGTACAGTCGGGTAAGTTCTCATCCACAACTCTTGCTTGCCATCTGTGCCTCTCGTATCTAACACCCACCGAAACAGACGGGCGTCATCGTAAAGTGGTCCGTCTTCCTCGGCCTGACGACCCTCTTCGCAGCCTTCCTCATCATAGGCTACGCCCACGGCAAGCGCCGCCTGAGAAAGGGCCTCCTGCCCCTGGGCTACCACCGCTGGCTCTTCAGCCGCGCCCAGCTCGCCCGCGTCGACAGCCGCTACGCCTGGCCCGCCGCCACCTACAACACCTACCGCCCCGAGTACTACAACACCCACCCGCAGGCACAGGGCGGCGGTTACTACGGCATGCAGGGGATGCCGCCCCCGACCTACGACCCCAACTCGGCCCGGCCCCCAATGTACGCGCCCCCCGACGGCGGCAGCAAGGTCGACCCGTCCCAGGAGTACGGCGTCACGCCGCCGCAGCCCTCTGTTGCGGCGAACCACACTGGTCAGCCGTACCCGTATAGGGCACAGTGAGGCCGAAGGGTGAAGCCTGAGGCGGGAGCGGAGGGGAGGTGGCATGTTGATTTGATGTTGTTGTTGCAATGGCGATCTTTTCGAAGCGGGGGATGAATTTGCATTATTGGCCAGAGATGAAACAAAGACGAGATGAGGCTGGAAATCATCAAGACGGGAGTACGCAGCTGAAGATGGGAATTCACCAGGAAGTGACTTCTCCAACAAGAAGCTGCAAGATCTCACACATCGAGGCTGCATGTCTAAAGAGATGGCGGCTGGATGCTTTTTACAAATAACCATTGTCAATTGTACAAAGTAGTTACTTCTACCAACACGAATCGAAATGATACCAATGAAAAACGCCTCGCTGACCTGGCTAAAGATGCCGGGGGTCTCGCAATAACACGTGCCCATTCGTGACGGCGTAGGGTATCGTCATAAAATACACAATCATTACTTGCCTTGGAGGGTCCCCTTAGTCCATATCCATGGCGTCGGGATCGTAGTCTACAGGTGCCGACATCTCGGTTGGGGTTGGGGGGTCCGGAATGATGGCGTCTACAGGTTGCTGAGAGACGAAGGGCGGAGGCATCTGCACTGGGGCGCCTCTGCCTTCGCGCTCGAGACGCTGCCTCTCGCGCATGCGGGCGCGCGACTCGACGATGGCCTTGCGGACACTGTCCTGCTCACGAGGTACCGTCAAGGACGCGGGCTCGTTGTAGAGGACCACCTGCATGCCAGCCAGCTGGCCTTCGTCGTTGGCGAAAATGGAGGGAGGAATGCGCGTCTGACGGAGGTGCTTCTCAATGTCCGGAAGGAAGACGAGCTTGCCCTCGTCGGGTTCGCTCTCGGAGGAGGACAGCTCATCGTCAATGTTGTAAATGTAGACCTTGTGCTTGGAGTCGTCGAGCTGCATCACTTCTTCATCGGCGGACGGTTTGCGATCACGACGTCGACGACGGGTGGTGGGAGGAGATGTGGGTGCTGACGACGAGTCTGCGGGGATTGGAATGCTTGAAGACGGAGTCGGCTCCTCCACAGGCACGTAGAGCTTCTGGCCATTCTTCTCTGCATGGTGCGTTAGTATGAAAGCGGAAAGAAAGTTTCCATTGTCGTGAGCTCGTGTTGTGGCAGTTGACTTACCTAAATTCAGAAGACTGAGCCTTTTGGATAAACGTTCGTTGTCTTGGGACTCAGCTTTTCGTTTGCGCCTTAGCTGCCTCGCCTGCGGATGCTGGTGCTGGTGCTGGTGCTGATCCGCCTCCAGGGCGTGGGAGGGAGATTGGGTCCCGTGCAGTAGCATATTTCGGCGACTTTTGCTGGAACTTTCCCTCTTTCCTCTCTGCCTTTTGTCCAACCGCTTCTTCTGGTGTACCACCCCTATTAGCACTACCAGCTCCCGGGTTCGCAGAGCTGCTGACCGACGACAACGACGATAATATTCGGAAACAAGTGCGATGACCAATTGTTCAAAGTCCCGAAGCGGCCACTAGAATCGCAGCAAAGAGAGACACGACAGGCGCAGCTGAGCAGCGGGCGTAACAGAGGTGCTGCCAATCGGGTCCGAGATTCTCTCAAAAGTGAGCTTTGAGAGAGAAGAAAAAGAGAGAGAGAGAGGTACGGTACGGTACGGTGCGGCTGATATTGAATCGCCGTTTCCGGAAGGGTAGGGAATATCCCGTCGTGAAGTGAAGAACGCGGGCCCAAAGTCAATCCAAAGTCTCGAATGTCCTTGGTGAGCTAAGGTCTTTGGACGGCGAGAAGCGGAGAACAACTTTTGCCAGTTTTGGTTGTCTTTTACGTTTGGTTGGTAAGAGAAGAGAGAGAGAGAGAGAGAGTTGCGGCTTGAATCAGCAAAAAAGAAGGGGAAAAGAAGAGGAAAGGAGGAGATCCGTGGACGGTCTTAGTACCGATAGAGCTTGCTCGCTGGCTTGCTGCTCTCTCCTGCGCAGATCCAATTCGTCGATATATATTCTAAGGGGTGAGGGGGAACTTGGAAGGAAGCGGAGAGGAAGGATGACCTTCGCTACTGCTAATGCTGCTGTGCTCGTACGAGGGGCGCGGGCGCAAGCGCGTTCTTCTCTGGCTTTCAGCTGTGGCGGACGAAGTAGCCTTGAGCATCGGCTGCGACTGCCGGGGAGCTCTGGCGCTTTTGTACTGGCTTTGACTCATTCTTGTAGAAGTTTCCACGACAGGAGCACCACCGGACCACCAGCTCCAGCTCCAGCAACAGCAACAGCAACGGACCTGGGCCACCACCACCACCACCACCACCCCTCGCCGCACCCGCATCTGCATCTGCACCACCACCCGCAACCAGGCCCGCCGTCGCTATCGCCCCAGCTATCTCTACCTCTGCCTCTGCCACTGGCACGGACGCCGCTGCCCCTCCTACCCCGAAGCAATGCAGCTGCCGCGCTAGCAAGCAGCTCATCCCGCCAAAAGAGTCACAGCTGTGCCGACCCTGATAAAACATCATCCCTCCCCTCATCACCATCAACAATCCCTTTTTCCAAGAGGACTCGAGCGTCGGTTGGATCCACGACAGATACCCACTCACCGTCTGGACTCATCGCATCGAGTGCTACTTTTCCCTACAGGCGCTTTCACTCTACTTCGACATTGCCCACCGCTGTCATGGCTGAGCCAAAGTGGCCCGGCGCCGTTGTGCGCAAGACTTTCCTCGAGTTCTTCGAGAAGAGGGGCCACACGATCGGTATGTTGTCACCGACTTTCCACTTTCCCCCAGCAACACGGCGTGATAGAGGAAATTGCCTCTGCTATTCTTCATCTAGACATTGCGCTTCTAACTTTTGCTTCAAATGTGCCAATTGGCTAACCATCTCTGCTTTATCTCAGTGCCGTCTTCCTCCGTCGTCCCTCACAATGACCCCACCTTGCTCTTCACCAATGCGGGCATGAACCAATTTAAGCCCATCTTCCTCGGAACGATCTCAAAGTCGGATCCCATGTACCCTCTCAAGCGTGCGACCGACTCCCAGAAGTGCATTCGCGCTGGTGGCAAGCACAACGATCTCGACGATGTCGGCAAGGACAGCTACCACCACACATTCTTCGAGATGCTGGGCAACTGGTCCTTTGGAGATTACTTCAAGAAGGAGGCCATTGAGATGTCATGGGAGCTCTTGACCAAGGTCTATGGTCTGGACCCTGCCCGCCTGTACGTCTCCTACTTTGAGGGTAACCCTGAGATGGGTCTCGAGCCCGATCTAGAGGCCAAGAGCTTGTGGCAATCCGTTGGTGTCCCCGACGACCACATCTTGCCTGGCAACATGAAGGACAACTTCTGGGAGATGGGTGACCAAGGCCCTTGCGGTCCTTGCAGTGAGGTTCACTACGACAAGGTCGGCGGCGGTCGCAACGCCGCTCACTTGGTGAACGAGGATGACCCGATGGTCGTGGAGATCTGGAACAACGTTTTCATCCAATACGATCGCCAGGCTGATAAGTCACTTAAGTCTCTCCCCGCCAAGCACGTCGATACTGGCATGGGTTTCGAGCGTCTCGTCTCTGCGCTCCAGGATACTGTTTCCAACTACGCCACCGATATCTTCACACCCCTCTTCAAGAGAATTGAGGAAGTTACTGGCGCCAGGCCCTACACTGATAAGTATGGAGCCGATGACGCCGACGGAATCGACACTGCCTACCGTGTCATTGCCGACCACATTCGTCTTTTGACCTTCTCCATGTCCGATGGCGCTGTCCCCAACAATGACGGCCGCGGATATGTCCTCCGCAGAGTGCTCCGCCGCGGTGTTCGCTACGCGCGCAAGTACTTCAACGCCGAGATTGGATCCTTCTTCTCCAAGATTCTCCCTGCTCTTGTCGACCAAATGGGTGAACAGTTCCCCGAGATTGTCAAGAAGCAGCAGGATATCGTTGAGATCCTTGACGAGGAAGAAGCGGCCTTTGCCCGTACACTTGACCGTGGCGAGGCTCAATTCGAGAAGTTCGCCAACGCTGCCATCAAGAAGGGCGAGAAGAAGCTCACTGGTGCCGAGGTTTGGAGACTTTACGACACCTTCGGATTCCCCGTCGATCTCACAAAGCTGATGGCTGAGGAGCGCAAGCTCGATATCGACGACGAGGAGGTCAAGGTTGCCCAGGAGAAGGCCCGCGAGGCTAGCAAGGTCGTCAAGAACGCTGCCCAGACTTTTGCGAAGCTGAATGTCCATCAAATCGCTGAGCTTGAGCAGCAGCTCAACATCGCGAGAAC